GACTTATCTAGTTGAAAGTTGAAGCTATGAAAAATAGTTTAGCTTTTGCATTTCAAAAAATTGAAAATTGTAGGAATTATTAAGTACATATAGTATTTTATAATTTTAGATGTTAGACATGTATTATTTTAATTATTAAATGATTTTTAAAATTATTACGAATTTAAAATAATATTAAAAATAAGAAACAATATTTTTATGCCTAGGCCTCGTCTAGTTTGAAGATTGGATTACACGCCTAGCCACGCTTTACGTTTTCCGGAACATTGAAAAATATTAATTCTCTAGGAACAATTATAGCCCACTATTGGTTATTAATCCATTAACTTTTGTTCGCCAATTATTATATTNTTGAGGCACACACCCCCCCACCCCCCCCCCAAAAAAAAGCGTGGGCCCCATGTATTTTCAAAAATGTCGGCTCGTGTCCCCACCCCCTAATGTGAGTGGGGTGTAAAAGATTTGGTAAAAAATTTGGTAAGTGTAGCATGACTCGTTTAATAATTATCATGACAACTCAAAGGTATATTTAGTCGATATCTTCTTTTTGATTAATAAGTGTATCAACGTGTCATAACCAATTGGATCGCATGAAAGTGGTAGATGGCCGGTACGGATCCAATGGAGTGGTTTTCGAATTCAAACTTTACCATTTCATTACATACCATGCTATTTTCTATAAATGGACAAGTACAGATGTATTAGTAGTGAATGTCAATGTTGATTAACACGTGTATCAACTTGTGATGCATCGGATAGTTGGGCCTAAATTAGCCTATCAGATCACATGAAAGTGGTTATGGATCCAACACATAACTACATTTATTCACTTGCTATGCTCAATCCTAAAATGCACATTTGAATAGTATCTGAGATCGTACGTGACTGACTTTTTATTTCAATCACCGTACGAGGCTAACCAAGTGTCAAATATAATTAGTGCTTGTACAGTAATAGACTTGAGAACTTGGTGAGCGTATTAATCTAACTTCCATTAATTTCTATATGATAACTGATCGTTTAACTCATCACCATATATAACTAACGAAGAGAAAAGTAAAATTAGTAATCTCAATATACACGCAATGTGATACTTAACAATGCATTTATGTACTCTCGTTTATTCTTACATTATTCCTAAAATAAAAGTATCAAATATAATTAGATTCTGTATCGAAAATCATTTAAGTCTAACTAAATTTCAAATACATTAATATGTCAATGGTAACTGACCTCTAAACTTAATCAGTATACCAAACTAGTGAAATATAAAGTTCAATTAGTATCCCAACTACTTATAAAGGAGAAGGTTAAAAAAAAAAAAAAAAAACTAAATAGCTCAATGGACCAACTCTACCGCTGTTGTAATCAGACAAATTTCAGCCATTGATCACAATCATCTGCTTGATAAACCATGTGGGAGATTTACTTTTTCCATTCAGTGCAAGGTATAATAATGTAATTGTTTATTCAAAATGGGGCCCATCAACATGCACGTGGGACAATTTTAAAAGTGTTAGTGAGTTTTTTACGTTGTAACC